AAAACAGTGGGGTTGTATCTGTAAATCAGTGGGTTTGTATCTGTAAATCTATAATTGTGGTCTTTCTAGCCTGGTATTGAAACAATAGGATATTCTAATGCATGTCATCCTTTTGTCATATCTATTTTAACCTTTAACCACCAGTTCCCTCTTTTCATCAAAAATTCACAAAATAGTCCTGTTTACAGTCTGCCATTTCCTTCTGAAAATTTACACAAATTTTGTCTGTTGGCTCCAAAATTAGGGTTGATTTCCAAAAATATTGAAAATTAACAGTGCAGAAAAATCTGGTGGTGAAAATTACCAGAATTTGTTTTTCTGGATTGTTTTAATCATTTTAACTTGATGAAACTGTGTGTGATTCCAGCAAGAGACTGTGTATTTGAACAAGGTAAATGTATCCAATCAGAGCTAGTCTATCAGATAGCAGCTAAAACATAATGATTGGATTTTGAATTGCCACAGAGGGTGCACTCACTGAAAGGAATTGTCAAGGTGATATTGGTGATTTCATTGCTGAATAAGTGGAGCTTAGCCTCGTTCTCAGTCATCTGTTACTGTGATCACTTATTTTGGCATTTTTTTTTAGACCGGGCTGGTATACATTACAAAATATTGAATCGAAGGAAAGGACCTGCAGTATGGGTAAGTTAGCTTGACTTTATGACATTAGACTTTTTTTAATTCAAATGTCATTTAAGGCCATGTATTGATATCAACATTTATTTGGTTCCAAAATGTTATTTTTGCTGTGTATTATGAAAAGGACATATTACTACAATGTTTATATCTTGACAATGAAATTAATTTGTTCATTGAAGGTATTTTTGTCATTGTAAAATATCTGTTCTAATACTGAGGCACTGAAAAAGGCAGGTATACTACAAAATGTTGCACAATCCACAACATTATATCAACTTCATTTTAAATGTAATTCTGAGCTGAGTAATTAATAACTTTAAATCATAAAAAATGAAGTACAAATTTTATAAAGCACTCAAAATGTTCCTCTTGAACTTGCAATGAGTCCTTGAAGTAGCATATTACTGATGGAGCAAGTTTGTTTTTGACTCCCACGTGCGAAGCACATAATGGGAGTCTTTGCAGTTAGTGTGTCTGTATGTGTGTATGTGTGTCCGACTGTTCCACTGCTATCTCAAGAACCATACATCGGTTTTTGATGAAACTTGGTGCATAGATGCTCTGGGCCAATGCGCAGATTTGATTAGGTTTTGGTAAAAATCCATGCTCGTTAATTACCTAATTTGCATGATAATTAGCTAATTTTTAGCTGTTTTATGACTGTTCCACTGATATCTAAAGAACCACTCATTGGATTTTGATGAAACTTGGTACATAGATGCTCTGAACATATGCGCAGATTTGATTAGTTCTTGGTAAAAATTCGTGCATATTAATTACCTAATTTGCATAATTAGTTAATTTTCAGCTTTTCCACTGGTATCTCAAGTACTAATCATCGCATTTCAATGAAACTTGGTACATAGATCCTTTAGGACTATGCA